ACTCAAAGCTCTACTTTGATGTTTATTTATTTTGTGTGTGTTCTTTGTTTTTCTCAGCTTTGGATTCTGTCCCCACATGAATGACAACAACAAGGACCAGCTGAAAGGGAAGGACCTTCTGGTGGCTTATTATGATGTTGACTATGAGAAAAACCCTAAAGGCTCCAACTATTGGAGGAATAGGTAGGTGTTTGGGGGAAAAAAAGCTCATTTAATGTTTGTGGCGTTTTTCTGTTTTTGAAGCTGCAGTTTCCCTGCCGATTTTAAATCTGCACTGTGCAGAGATGGCTGATTCTCAGATCGATCTTGAATATCTTAAGTTTTGTTTTCGGTTTAGTACAAGACCATGCACCTCCCCTTTGGCAGTTAGCCACATGCTAAGAAACAAAAATGAGACCAGATTTTTTTTTTTTTTTTTAATACCTTAATCCTCCACAGTGTTATCTTTGTTTTTGGCTGCATGATTAAAACCATCTTGGCATCTTTCAGGGTGATGAAGGTGGCAAAGGGCTTCCTGGATCAGGGTAAGAAGCTGAACTTTGCTGTAGCTAACAAGAACATGTTCAGCCACGAGTTATCTGAGTTTGGCCTGAATCCTAGTGGCGAACTGCCTGTGGTGGCCATCCGCACCGCCAAAGGAGACAAATACACCATGACTGAGGAGTTCTCGTAAGTCCAGGACAACTTTTCACCACAATTCCCCACCAGTGCACACACACATCACGTCACAAGTTGCTAGTTGGATTTAATAGAACCTTTGCTACACTGAGTATAACTCTAAACAGTGTAGTTTTGTGATGGTGTGGCAACACTGTATAAAAACTGGACGCCAAATATTGATATGTTATGAAATAAATGGAGTAATCTGGGAATATAATGAACAAGACTGCATGTAATTGCCAATTTGACCCCCATTCAGTTACAGATGGTAGCATTTGGGGACTGCGTTTAAGCTCTGTCTCATTTGCAGCATATCTGAAGTAAGAAATTGACCTTATTGGATAAAACTGATATTGACAAAGTTTAAACTTTTAATTTATATTTAAGAAAAGGCAATATCACAGTATTTATTGCACAACTCGCCTTATCACAAAATGTATAAATGTGGTGATCTTGTAACGTGTAGTGTCTGATTCCCACCTCGGTTGCCTAAGTAACTAATCGGTAGATGAGGCGCTTGCTAAAAGAACGGTGCCTAGTTAATGACTTCCAGCTCAAGGAGAATTGTGACTTTACTGACTCATTGAATGTCTTTCAACAGTCGTGATGGAAAAGCTCTGGAGCGTTTCTTGCAGGACTACTTTGATGGCAAGCTGAAGCGCTATCTCAAATCAGAACCCATCCCAGAGAACAACGATGGACCTGTTAAGGTGAGATCAATTTTTTCTGACACTTGTAAGATTTGTACTAAACATTTTCTTTGTGTATCATGGACATGCTTTTAAATGTACAGCTGCCTCGGCTGGAGTAGCTTTGACTCATTTAAGAAATAATTGTCATGCTGAGGTTTAGTGCAGTTGCCTAGTTTGTCCAGTCTCTGAAGTGAACTGCCTTTAAGTTAACTTTCTTTTTTAGTAGCTGCATCTTATTTGAAAGATTTCAACCGTGGATGGGTGGAGCTCTGTGCTGTGAATAAATGCAGCGTGAGGATGTGCAATTATCCTGGATACTCTGCTTAATTCAGTGACAACGCATAATCACAACTCATATAATCAGTCTACAACACCCCCCACCCCCTTCCTTTCGCACTCTCGCCTCATGTTTTGACAGCTTTAACGGAGATGAAGTTTTACTGTTGCCTAGGACTAGAGATAAACCCTAAGGCCGTTTGTCCACTGCAGGAGCTATCGGTCAGATTATTCCTAACAGTGGAACCCAGCACTCTCGATTGGGAACAGCAGAACAAATTGGCAAGATGGCTTAAAAAACAACAACAATTAAATGGATCAGTGAGACTCAATTCTGTTGAGGTACAAAAGTAGTGAATCAGAGGTAAAAATGTTTTCAAAAACCAGAAAGATCATTCAGCTCATTTGAAAGCAATGATTTCATCATCTTACCTCATCTGGATTACTGAGCATGCATCAGCACATTAGTAGAAACAGACAATAGCCTTTGAGTGGAGGAAGTTCTGGGTACTTCAGGTGGAAAAATAGCTGCAGTACAGAACCATCTCTAAGACCTGCAATGTCTCTCCAGGTTGTGGTGGCTGAAAACTTCGACTCCATCGTTAACGATGACAGCAAAGACGTGCTGATTGAATTCTACGCTCCGTGGTGCGGGCACTGCAAAAACCTGGAGCCCAAATACACAGAGCTGGGAGAGAAGGTGAGGGAGCGATCCTGAACTGCTGCTAGTTCAGATCTTTCGAATTAAAACAATAACATGTTCTTAAGTAACTTATCCAGAACTTTAAGTCATGTGACCTCCTGGATTAGCTGGCTTTTTTTCTGGCCTGCATCACCCAGCCTGTAGACTAGTCTAACGTGTGGATGTTAAGGTATAGTGAACTGTCTTGCAAAGACTTAACAATTTGCCCTGTTTGTTTCTAAAGCTGGCCGATGATCCCAATGTCGTCATTGCCAAGATGGACGCCACAGCCAATGATGTGCCATCTCCATATGAAGTCAGCGGGTGAGTGCTGAGTCATTTAATGTGACGATAAGGCTTGGACTGTTTTTAATTTAATTAATATAAAGGTTTATGGTCCCCCCCCCCAACTTCGTGCTGTGGACAGTTCAAGATAAGCAGCATCAGTGAAAGTGAGCAGCTGAGTGTGGTGAATTGTTAAACTCTTTAGTAGCAGTCAAAGCAGCTAGATTACATGTTTTTTGAAAAATTAAAAGGGATGAGGAACGTGGGACAGAATTTTGCAATATTGCAGATTTTCTTTAAGCAGAACAGTCAGGACATTCTCGTACCATGTGAAGGTGTACAATCAGCCATAAGCTTCACGCTGAGTCCTGTATGTGACATTAGAGTGAATTTAAAGACCATATCTGTCTGCCATGGTAACAGAGCATACAGTATGTTCCCTTCAACATAACCTGGAGACGGTTCCTGTATTCCCTCGAGTAATGAGTGTTAAGCAGAGTCTGCCGTGGGCTACGTATCTTCATCACTGATAAAAGGGGGGGATGGGAAGCAGAACATTGCACATTAAACTGCAGACATCCTGAAGCTTAATTACAGACTGATTAGGATTAGCTGTAAGCTATGTGAGAAGCTTGACTTTGGGAAAGGTGAAGGAACTCAGGTTAACATGCATGTGTGATTACCTGTGCAGTTTGATACATGAAATCATAATCTTTGTCCTCAACCTGTTCTAGATTCCCTACAATCTACTTTTCTCCAGCTGGACACAAGTTGAGTCCAAAGAAATATGAGGTGAGTGTCTGCTAAAGTGCTATTCACAGCAGCAAAGTGATGTCTGTGCTTTGCTGATGAACCCTCTGCTTTCGCTGCAGGGAGGTCGCGAGGTGAGTGACTTCATCTCCTACCTGAAGAGGGAGGCCTCAAACCCGCTGGTGATGCAGGAGGAGTCTAAGAAAAAGAAGAAGAAGAAGTCAGAGCTATAAAAGCTCCAAACAGGAACTCAGCAGCACCCCTCCCTACCTCCACCACCACAACAGGAGGATTGGGGAAGAAAAAGAACTAAATTATATTCCTCTCTCTTAGTGAACTACCGAATGGTCTGAAGTCAAAGACGTGGCCCTTCCTTTAGGTCCTCATTGCACTGGGAATGCTGTGGAAGGTGGAGAGGTTTTGGCCAGGGTCTGCCCAATATTTCAAAACAAACCAATTTTTAGGGAAGATGGGATGACTTTTTTTTAAAAACATGAGATTTCTATTTCCCCTGGTCTGTCTACTACACCTCAGGCTGATGCACTTTGGTTTGATACAGTCTGTCATCTGTCGCTTTAGTTTCTTGTTGTTGTCATCAAAGGGGATCACGGTAATGGTGAAATTTTCTTTTCTTTTTCTTTTTTTTTTTTTTTTTTTTTTTTTTTGTAACATGCCTTTGATTTTGTACATTTGGAAGGATTGTGAAATAAAAAGGCCCACAAAACCAAAATGAACTCTGAAGTCTTTTCTATATCAAGTCAAATGCTTGTTTGACACACACTTAGACATAGTTGGTCATTTTAATTGGAAATGAATATTTGGTGGCTGAATGTGAACAACTGATGTGTCTGTAGTGAAACTGAGACTTAAGCAAGATTCTTTTTTGTTTTTATTGCTGTTTTGTTTTTGAAGATGTAAACCTAATTTGGTTATATTTACCTTAAATATCACTAAACCAGCCTGCCTTGGGCTGGAGAAAGTTATCTCGATCACAAAACACTATAAATATAAGCCAAATAATCATTTTTCTGATATTTACTAATCTGAAGGGGTACAGTTCACATGTTGGAAATCTAGATGTTAACCTTGATTAGATGGAAGCTGAAATTGAGATGGATGACAAACTCATCACAAAGGGAAAAATGCCACCACATTTTGTAAAGGGGGACATTTATAGTTGTACAATTAATGTGGGGTTCACATGAGATTTAGTACCTCTCCACTGAGTGCAAAGAAAGGGAGGTGTTTTGTTAATGGGACATTTCCAAACCCTTAAGCTATATTACAGGTAGCTAATGCTAAAATCTGTATTCTTTTTTTCATGTGTTTTTGGCAGCGGTCCGAATTACTTTCACTTTATCATCTCCCGTAGGAGATCGGAGTACAGTACACCTTTCCCAAAGTCATACAGTCCCATAAAAAACTGATTGCTGATGTTGCTGCAAATAGCAAAAACCCAGAGTCTCTGGAGGAAATGAAGACGCTGATGGATTCTCAAACTTTTCTTGTGTATTTATTTTCATATTTGTCACGCTTACATGTTTTACATCATCAAACAAAGTTTAATATTAGACAAAGCATGGGTACGCACCCAACCAATAGACGGCGACTCCGCATGTGAGTTTGTCTGAGAAAACTAAAGAAGAAGAGATTGAGCCAATGGGATTAGAGAGTAGAGGAGATTTGTCCGGGCATGTTCAGACCCTACACGTGCTGTTTCAGAAGGTAACGTAAGATATTTTTACTCTTTTTCTCAATTCATTTCTCTTCTCGTGTTTGTCAGCGTTCAGAAATACGTCGTTTGTGCTTGTAATCTATCTTGTGTCGTATTTTTAACGCAACTTTCTGCGGCTCGCTGGGTTTGTTTTTTTTTATAATCAAACCGAGAGACAAACTGTGTTTAAATACGTGGAATTTCCAGCTGAATTTAGTCACATGCAAACTCATCGTACATGAGCTTCAGTTTTTTTCTGAAATGTTATCGGCTAGTGTTTGATTTCATAAGTGCCAAGCGCGTTTTTTGTAAACAACTGTAAGCTTTTACAATCTATCAAGGCCTCGCCATATCCGGATCTTCCAGGCGGATGATGTTTGGATGATGGGTGATGATGATGGCTGTATGATACAATACAGCCTGAATTGTATGCTGGATTTATTATTTATCAACATGAAGACTGGCGGGGAAAAAGTTTTTAAACTTTAACTTGACACCGCCATCATATTTATGCCACTAAGAAGAGTCAAACTCTGCACTTATGGGGTGTTTGTAATGTGTTAGTGTCAGGTATATGGCCCTTATAGGCACCCGTATGTATGCCCACGTGTCCAGATTATTGTGGCTGGAGAATTACGATGTTCAGGTGGTATCAAATACGTTAGTCTCAAACTTTTTTGCCTTATTGTCTTCATAGCGCATGGAGTAAAAACCGGGGCTATACCAAAGTGATTTACTTTCGCATTAGCTAAAATTCACTTTCAGGTGTACCAAAAATGCGACTTCAAATCCTAAAAACATGAAGAATTCCTCATGTTTGCAGAACATCGATACAGCCTATGGGTCTGAAAAGTGAAGCAAGTACGCAAATTGCCTTACATTTGCATTTATTAATTCATTCATCCCTTATTTGATCTGGTCCATTTAGGGATTACCACATCTCCCTTCATTTCACACAATTCCTAGGATTCTCTTTTATCACCTCAGACCTTTCTCTGCATGTCCTCTTTCACTACATAATTAATCTACTCTGTGGTCTTTCTCTTTTCCTCCTGCCTTGCAGCTTCATCTTCTCCAAGATATCCACTCTCCTACTCATGCTCAAACCACCATGTTCAAAGTCTGTAGTTTCAGGTCATTCCAGATGAAATTTGAAGTTCTGGTTATTGTATTAGTATTAGGAATTACACTGGGTGTGGTCCTGCCTTAGCCAATCATTTCCTCCTAAGATGGTGCTTGGTATTCCACCAGACCTGCTTCATATTGCTGGTTCTATTGATGCTGTGTAAAAAGCAGATAAAGAGGGAAGCTGTGCAAAGGATGGAACTAAACTGCATGTGAAACATAGTGTTAATTTGTGCCTGGTGTATTCCTTGGGTTATCCAGGATATGCTAACCGGCTAATGACTTGTCAGTCCCCATGCACTGTGTATTGTACAGGAATAGTTCATTAACAATTTTTAAAATCATTTTCACGTCATTTCAGTAATCTGCAGTTCATGATGAGCCACATTTTTAAATAATGGTGATCACTATCCTGACTTTTGTGTTATTTCCTCAGACATGACTGTGAAAACTGTTCCACGAATCAATGATGGCAGAGTCATCAAACAGGAGAAAAGCCTCCTCACGGGGTCTTCTCAGCAATTATCGGTATCTGTGTAAAAAAGCCATGGTGCTCTGCGCCATGGAGAATGCAAGAGCCAGGAAGAGGCATCAGGAAAAGAGGATAATCGCCAACATGAAGATGAAAAGAACGGACGCCCGCCATGAATCACTTGATACAAACGTATTGATCAAAAGGTCTAAAATGAGCGCTCCAGAACAGGAAAATCAAAGCACTTTGAACTCTGAAAGCACTGATCTATCCAAACATACATCAGTGTCTGGAACAGCTAACCACCACTCTGTGATCGCGGCCCTTGGAGATCACTGGGAGATGGACAGTGGCTTCTCCTCTGAAGCCAGTCCTCCAGCCAGTGGTCGAAGTTCGCCATGTTTCAGCTCCTGCCCGACTACAGTGGTGGCATTGGACTGTGAGATGGTGGGGACAGGGTCTGGAGGACGTTGCAGCGAGCTGGCCCGCTGCAGCATCCTGGACTATCATGGGAACGTGCTTTATGATAAATACGTGAAACCCTGTCAGCCTGTCACAGACTTCAGGACTCGCTGGAGCGGCATCCGAAGGCATCATCTCCTCAACGCCACACCCTTCGTTCAAGCCAGAGAAGAGGTACGTCTGAGTGTTTGTAGACAACAGTGATGAAAGATTTAACCTGGGCTCTGAAATAGAGACTCTGTTCTCCTGGGATAATCTGGTGGATTGAGGAGAAAAACTTCAGTTTAATCATTTTAGGACACTCTGTCATCATGGGGGGGGCGACTGTATATCAGACTTTTGTTCTATCACGTGCCCAACTTGAATTTTTATTTGAAGAAAGTGGAATCCTTACTTTAAATTTTTATCCTTCAGCCGATAACTTTGGTGTTATCGATAGGGTGATGCTCAAATGAACACAATAGGTGCATTAACTAAAAATCTTGGCCAAGTTTAAATCTCGATGAATCATCCCTTTTTTTTCCTTTTCTTTTTTTTTCTTTTTTCTTCCTTTTTTTGTGTAGTAGCAGGCTGAAAGTGTAAGCATGCTTGGTCTTGCTCTTTATTTGTCTATTTTAACATGTTGAAAAAGAAATGTGGAAATGCAATGCACTACTGGAAGCTAATCGGGGCAGTACCGCTTATGTCGTCTGCCAAGACTAAGCTCAATACTAACGAAGAAGAACGTAGTGCGAACTGCAAAACAGGAGGACGGAAACAGATTTTAAAAAATATAAAAGCATTTCACAGAAAACAAAGTTAAATGGAGACTGTGTGTAGTCGAGCTTTCCTTCCACAACAGCACTGCTGCAGCGCACGAGCACTTAAAACATTGTCACTTGACTTTATGATGATGAGTTTAGAGCCCTTAGTCTGTCACAGGACATCAGTATGAAGACTTCAAGCTAGAGCTGAGAGAGACTGAATCTGCAAATCAGATTACAAATGAAATGCATGACAGCAGAAATCTAACCCCTGAATTCTGGAATTACTTCAGTAAACTTATTTGAATCTGTTACAGTCTAAAAAAATTAATTAATTAAATGTTAAGTAAATTGTGCCTTCCTTCTTGTTCCCTTGCATGGATTCTCACTCTCTCCCTTAGATCCTCAGTATACTTGAAGGCAAAGTGGTCGTGGGCCACTCCATCTATAATGACTTTGAGGCACTGGACATCCTTCATCCCTGTCACATGGTCAGGGACACGAGTACAACGCGTCTCCTCAGTCGGTTGGCCGGTTTCCCCAGTAAATGCTGTCCCTCCCTCAGAACGCTGGCAAATAAGCTGCTGAACAGGAGCATACAGGTGAGAGCTTGAGATGAGAGGACGCTCTAAAACAAGTGATGAGTGGCTGTTTTGGAAAATTGTTCCTTTCAGGTCACAGCATTTTTCACTGAAGTTATTTTCTGGTATCTGAGACTAGATTTAGTAAAATGCTCGTGTAACTGTTGTTGTAACCCTGTGGATCCTATCACTCTCTCAGGTTGGGAAGCGAGGTCATTGTTCAGTGGAGGATGCTCAGGCTGCGCTTGACCTCTACAAGCTGGTGGAGGGGGAGTGGGAGCAGGAGGTGCAGAACAAGCTGAGGGATGACGACGCTCCACTCGAGCCAAGTTTCTCCTCATCAAAGCACTACATGCAAGACGAGTACTGGCCGGATGACATCATTGCTGATGGCCAATAGGAGAAAAGTAATGGTGGGACAGTGGGAAATACCTCAGCAGGCTCTTTTTTGTGTGATGATGTTCGTAGTCATCAGAGCAGCTTCAGAGAGTTAATGGAAGTCCGATCTGAATGAATGTTAGAAATGTTAAATTGAAGGTGTCCTGAATCAGTTTGGAGAGAAATAACTTTAAAATGTGGAACAAAAACACTTTCTAACTTATTGCGTTTAACATGTTAAACATGTTCAGAGCTTCTAACAAAAGATTTTTGGTTGTCTATAGAAATGGTTGATCAAATAAGTCGTTCCAGACTTGATTGTATTTATAAAGTAAGAGTTGGTGCCCTTGCGTTTGAGGTTTGCAGTTCTCTAACAAGTGTCTGCTCTTACTTGAAAAATTCATCTATTAATTGGAAAAGATGACATAAATGTAGCTGTTCATGAAAACACAAGATGAATGACTGCTTTTGAAATGTTAGTTACTGCCTTGATAGAAACACTTGGAAATCACAAATATTACTATGAGCTGATATTGGTCATGTGGACTGATTTTAGCAGGGTTCGGTTAGTATTTTGATCATCTCACATTGTAAGCTGCTCTGAAATGTTCTAATAAAACTGCATCATGTTTAAAAACAAAAAGTCCCATTGTTTGATATTAGTGCTTGTGAGGATAATTTTAGAAGTTCACAATGCAGACACCTCCAGCCTCACTAAAGTCATTCCCTGATGATGAAAGACCTACATTCTTCTTTCAGGTTGGTTTCCTAAGCACACTGTGTCATATCAGTTCAGGTTGTGGGTTTCTGTTAGCACCAGTAGCATTACATAATGAAATCTCGCTTTAAGTGTTGGGAAATAATTTGGGGATCATTCAGACCGACTATTAAGTGTCACAAATACAGGCTCAGCATGTGAAATGATGTAATGGCACCCTGGCCAAATAGGTTACAAAACCCCTTCCATAACCTGGCCCAGTATCCTCATTTAACTTGTCAAAAGCTGTTTTTAGAGGATAAGCCAAACAAAAGGAAACATACTTGTTTCCAGACAGCGATTTAACTAATGTGCACAACTTACTTTATGTAGGCGAGTGCAGTAAGCTGCAGGTGAAGCTGTACATATGTTTTTACATCTCATGCTTTAATTCTCAAGCATCTTTACACACACACACACACCTAAAGGCTGGACTTGGCCCTAAAGCTCAGGCAACAAGGGAAGAACAGAGCACAGCATTGTTTGCACAATCCATCTAATTTTGCTCCACAAATCGCTTTATTTAGCAGATCAGGCCTGAATTAGCAGATTACTGGTTAGTTGGCTGCCTGCACCTTCGTCATAGCATCATCAGTGACGTTAACACGGTCGGGGTCATTCTGTTTAGCTAAAACACAAGATTATTCATGTTTGAACAGAGAAATGAAATCAAATATTTTTGGTGCCAATAATTTTTTTTTTGATCATGCTTCACTGTGCTGCATAAAGATAACTTTTGATATTGGTCTAGCAAAATGAAGAAAGTGACTGTTTCATGCAAAGTTGTGTGCGTGAGAACTAATCAGATCACAGAGCAGTGTGGAAAGTTTAAGATCTTCTGTGGCTGCACATATGTCTACAGGCAGATCTGTGGGCTTGTGTGTGCAGATATGCATGAAAATGGTGTATATTTTGAACCTTATTATCTTAGCTGCTTCCTTTATTCCATACGTGTGACATACCCAATAGAGAAAACATGTCTTGACAGTTTTTGCTTTTATTTTTTGCTCTTGGTCATCTTTCAATTATAGCAATAAGATTTCCTGAGTATTTCACGTGTAAAGTAAAAGCAACATTCAGAGGATGATCAACCATATGAACCTTTTTGAAATGTTACCTACAGATGAAGGCGATACACTAAACATCGCAAGAAAATACAATCACAGAGTTATGCAAAATTGGCCAGCAATTTCTGCATTAACTTCCTCAGATTAGTAACCACTCTTCTATATAAAATTCACTTCCTTGGATAATGTTTCGAGTGCAATTGAGTTCATTATCCTGTTCCAAGACAGCTTCAGAGTGTGCACAGATGGCCTCCCATGACCTTTAAACACTATTTCGAGTCGCTGAGCCATTGAAACAACTAGAGACACATTTCCACTCATGCATTACTATTTTTACAGCACATTATTTTCCAAAATGTGTATTCTTTGCACGTACTGTATGTTTAGTGGAAAAGTGTGTTTTGGTACAAGAAAGGTTTTTTCTTGTCACACCTATAATGCACCTCAAACTTTGCAGTCTCTGATCATGAACACATGTACTTTGAGACCAAAAGTTGTAATAGTTACCTGCAGGTACCCCGAGTTAATTTTGGGGTTCATGGAGACTGTTTTCCATCAGACGATCTGCACTTAGGGATAAAATTACTGGGATAGGAAATCCAACTGCCTGCAGTTTGAAAGATAAACCTCTTGTAGATGATCTTTCTTATAGTAGTTAAAAAACATTTTACTAATTCATGGACAATAAAATGTTTTGTCTGAAGGCCTTTAAGAGTTCTTTAGGGTTTGGTATGATGATAGCACAGAGTTCAATTGAAAGCAACCCCTTGATTTTTAAATAAAGACAAGTTAAATGTCATTAGCACCATGGAACCCCATATTCTAAGGTGTCATGGGTTTACGGAGGTTTTGGGATTTCCAAAGAAATCACATGAAGTTCATTCTGTTCATTTGGATGTAGAGTTTTCAGTGGGAGAAATGTTTCGTCACCCATCCAAGTGACTTCTTCAGTCTCAGCTGACTGCAGGTTTATCCAACCTTATAAACATAATATTTGCATGACAACTGAAACTAGCTCCCTGGCAAACAACGGGCTGTGAGGTCAGTTTCTTGATCATTAATATGCAAATTTTCATTACCATTGATCCAGAAAAACAAAATGAAAATTCTGGAGTGGCCTAGTCAAAGTCCTCACCAGAATCTGATTGAGATGCTGTGTCATGACCTTAAAAAGGCAGCTCAGGCTCAGAAACCAGTGTAGCTGAATTACAACAATTCTCCCAAGATGAGTGGGCCAAAACTCCTCGACAGCGCTGTAAAAGATTCATTTCCAGTTATTGCAAATGCTTGTTATTAGGTTTAAGGGGCATGTCTTGTGATTTGTCAGATAGTTTATTTTAACATTTCTTCAAGAAGCCACCAACAGCACAAACACAGAGATGTTCAGTTCAGCGACTGGCCAACAGAGAAATTGTAATTTAGTTGCACTGTTGCGGTGGCTTAATTTTTCAGCTCTCTGGGTTTCTGCTCGACCCCAACAACTTGCATGAAATGTGATAAATTATGCAATTTAAGTTTGCCATGTAAGGAACAAATGTCCTAATAAAGCTGTAAAAGCTTAATTGATAAACTGATTAATCCCTTCAGCATTCCCTTTAAGATAATATTGCTGGTTCTTTAGTTAGCAATATGACAGAACCAGACTAACCACGTCTTCTCAATTATACCTCCAAACATGTGAAACAGAGCATTTGAACACAGTGTGTTCATCCTGGGGACTCAGCACTCACAATGGTCACTGTTCACTCCGTTCAAGTCTCCTCGGAATGCAATCAAATCCCTCTTCTCCTTAAATCACTTCTGAACTGAAGGGTACACTTAACTTTACATCATCCTGGCCCTGCCTTTCATCACCGGAGCCCGTCCACCATTGGTTAAAAAAGCAACCCCATCACGGCT